GATTAGAAAACTCACATACCCACTACAAATCTCTATATCTTGTTTCAACGTTAAAAAACGAAATAATAAAATATTTCAGTCGCATAGTGATTTCACACCTGATGAAACGTTAAAAAAAGTTTTCGTCTTTTTAACGTTGAAACAAGATGTACAGTTTTCTCGTGGATATGTGCATGTTCTAATGTAACACTGCATAATATAAAGAAATATAGTCTTAAGGTGTGCTATATTTATGGAATAAAGTGCTCAATATCAGAGATAGAGCGTGTGTAAATATAAAAGTGAACATAGTTTCAACACTTAGAGGCGACAGTCGTTTCATGACGATTGCATATCATGAAACAGACTGTCGCCTCTAGTGTTGACTTTATGTTGACTATGTTCAGTTTTTATATATATATATATATATATATATATATATATATATATTATAATAGATTACAATAAAAACAAATAGCGATGTAAAATGTTATCTATTATAATAAAAATATTTGAATAATAATTTTGTATTCAACACTTTTTAAAAAGTATATGTTAAGAACTGTAGATTCTACCTCCATCTGTTCTTTCGCTTTCTTAAGATATATATATATATATATATATATATATACTCGACTCTCCGGTCGAATTCGACGTATGAGGGTCAAGCAGATCAGTTCCTAGGAAACAGCCCGACAACAGCACATGAGAATTGATTATAGTGGTGAAGGTTTCGTGCAGGACCATCCACACTTTTTGAAGGGCCGAATACAGAGACCTGGTGCACTAAGTGCCACAAGGTCCCCAAACGACCCTCCGCAGGTTTTGAATTCAGAGTTGTCCTTCTCCTAGACTAGATGACATCCAAGGCTATAGAAGCCAGTCTGTCCTGCTATTTACCCATAGCTGGAGGGAGAAGAGGATTCACATCTTTCCCAAGGGTATATATATATATATATATGTGTGTGTGTGTGTGTGCGTGTGTGTGTGTGTGTGCGCGCGCGTGTGTGTTTGTGTGTGAAAATTCAGATATAACTAAAAATATACAGTGTAACCCGGATATAAGAGACCCGGATATAAGAGAGATTTTCTCTGGTTCCAAATTAGAGCCTGTGTTAATGTATATAAAATAAACCAAACCCGTATATAAGAGAAACCCGGATATAAGAGACTTCTTCTCCTGTCCCGACAACTCTCTTATATCCGGGTTACACTGTATCTGTAAAAAAGATAAAATTATTTGCTTAGACGAATTTTTTTTTTCTAGAGAACCGAAATTGAATTTTACCAAAAAATAAATCTGTGCCCCATATATCACTTAGCGTCCTCCATACTTTAACTTGACTTTCGACAGAATGCATGCTTATCAATAAGAGGAAGAGACCGAAATGCGATTTGCAGGCCGAAAACACTAGAATCAAACAGGCGCGAAAGTTTAAATTTAGTCTGATGTATATTCATGAGCACTCTCACTCACAAAAATACCTTTGGAAAACGTATGGATCCGTTTTTTTCTTCTTGTAGCTACTAGTTAAATAGTAGGGTAAACTGTGTTCTCTAAACTTGGTGAGCAACCAGCCTAGGAGAAGGACGACTCTGGATTCAAAAGAAAGGAAAGGTATTTGGAGCTAATTAAAGACTGAGAAACTCTAGCAAATAAAATGCATCTCCAGGCAAGTATCGAACCTGCAATTCCTTGATGGAAAAACGGAATACAGGTGAGGTTATTCTGGTTGACTACAGCTTCATTATATTCATTTACCTGCACACACCCTCGGGAAAGGTATATGTCCATCTTTCCTCCTTCTTCGGCTATGGGTTGATTAGCAGGATAGACTGGACCCGATAGCCTTGGTTGACATTCAGTTGACCGCAGAAATATATGGTAGCCTAGTGGAGAGAAAATTTTCTGTCTAGTCAGTCATGGATCAAAAGAGACATGATCGCCCAAGAGTGTATCTCGTATGGCACTTAACTGACTGACTGATTATTACTGAGTAGTGAGATCAACCCACGCTGTCTGTTCTATATAAACTTTTTTTTTGTTTTACGGCATATCAACCTCAATGGGTCATTTAATGCCGACAACTTTTTTTTTCCAGATAACATTTTTGTTTTGTCAAAAATCTATTTCTGATAATATTTTTTTCCTCAAAATTGCATAGTTGGTAATATTTTTTTTTCAAAAATTTATTTCTGGTAATAATTTTTTTAGAAAGTATTTCTGGTATTAAAACCTATTTTTACATTTTCAAAATGCTTTTTACCTCAGTTTCGGGGTTAACTATTTGCCCATAGCTGGGACCCTAACAGGTGCTATCACCCCGGGTCAGGGTGGACCTGGGAGCACCAGCAATTAAGAGGTGGTTCCACGCTGTTCAAAACCTCCTGATCAGAGGACTTGCTGTTGGACGTAGTTTATCGTCTTGGACGAATAAAAAATTTAACATTAAATCATTCAACAAGGGTTGAAATGTAATAAAATCAACCAAGCCACCAATCATCCAACGCAAACAAATGTGTTTACCAATGCCATCATATATGTAAAGTCTTTATTTTTAATATGTGTGAATCTTAGAAAAATGTCAATACAAGGGACATAACTTTAGTATTAAGAAGCTACACACTACAGACAAAGACATTTACTGGCGGGGTTCTCTAGTTGAGGTTGATAAACAATCTAGGTTAAGGCAAAATTTGAACTGAGAACCCTTTCTTAGTACCTTTACGTTACCGTTGCTTAATACAGACTCTACAGCATGGGTCGGCAACCTACGGCACGGGTGCCACACATGGCACGCTAAGCAATTTCCAATGGCACGCAGCCACAAATGACATCACGAAGTTCGAACCAGTAACTACTAAAACGCATAGATATTTAGCTGTTCTAAAACTGCTCACTCGTTGGACTCCCATTAATAATTAAAACTTAAAAAAAAACTTTTAAAGTTAGTTTATTTCTATTAATGTGGTTTACATATTGTATATATTACTATATAAAATATATTGTAGAACAGGTATATTGACCTTGACTTGTATAAAAATACGTATGCTGTTGGCACACTGAATGATTTTAAAACCCTAAGTCGGCACATAGTTAGCAAAAGGTTGCTGTCCCCTGCTATACAACCATTGACAAGATCATGGAGTACACAATGATTTTGTGATCTTGTCGACTGGTGATCTGTTACCATATAGTAAAGTACCTTTATTGTTTTATTTCCCTCTTTTTTACTCACTTTTACTACAGATGCATTTTAGTTTAGACAACGTTTTCATCGCCTCCTCTTTAGCCTAAGAATGTATTGGACCCCCCACCCCCGAATAAGCGACAAGCTTAAGCCACGTGATTCTCACATTTTCTATCCTCCAAATTCTCGCTCCAGCTGATAGCATCGCCGGTATGTAATGTCTTATATTCTTTATCTAAGTCTTGAACTCTGTTAATATCTCATTATTAGTTGAACATTTGCTTAATGTAACCACTTCGTGTGCATTGATTGTTGCTAGCTGTACTTTGTCACGTGAAACTCTTTTCACCATGAGTTAACTTCCCTTACACTTTTCGAAACAGCCTGCAAAGTCCGCTTTCGGCCCTAATATCTCTTGCTTTACCGCGCTCACATTTATTTTGTCCTTTTTCATTGGTCGTTTAATTTTGGGGAAAAGCCCAAAGTTACAGAAACGAAACATTGACTATAGGGACTGATGACCTGTTGTTGAATAATAGTTTTAACACAGTGCTTCTCAAACTATCTGATATGGCGGACCGGCATTTTTTCCCCTCTATGTGTCACGTACCTGTAATATTTCGTGGTAATATTAATTTATACCGGAAACGATATATATAATGAATATAATAAAAGTTGACTATTATTTATTTTCTATTGATCTTGCAAAAGATAATTTAATATCAAAACATATAAAAATAATAAAACCAAAAAAGCTTCAAATGATTCCATAGCATGACCTGGACACTGGCCGCGAACCGGTATCTGATGGTTCGCGTGCCGGCACCGCTCCGTAGACTACCACTTTGTGTAGAACTGATTTGGCAGACTATTTTTTTTTCTTTTAGAGGAAGTGTATCGCTGCTCCGACTTCCTGAGGTTGACCTCAGCGACCAGATAGAAGACAAAACAAGGAAGTCGATTTTGATTGGCCGAACGAGCGTGGGAATGACAGAGAACTATGTGGGCGTGTTTCCTTCGAGTCTGGATCTGCTCCCCAGTGGAGGGAGAGAGCAGCCCCACTGGCTAGTTAGAAGACGTTGACGATAATAAACTCGTTAAGTTAAAATTCCCAGTGTTGACGTTCTTTTATCGCCGAACCAAAACAACTAGCGATCACCGGCTGTGAAAGGAGAAGGTAACGTTATTATTGAATCTTTACCGTCGCTTAAGAGTTCTCCAGCATGAGGTGGTGGTGTTGGTGGGGGGGTTATACATCATTGTATTAATTGGCCAAGATCTTCCAGAATGACGGGGCTGTGCAACACAATCTTTGCTAAAAACAACACAAAACAAACTTGCACGCAACCTGAAATACCGATTTGCTTGGCAATTACGAATATGACACTGACACAAAACACAAGCTCCCTCAATGCCATCTCTCTACCGACTGAGTAACCCCACAGGAGAGTGTCTGTTCATGTATGCACAGTAGCGTTTCCTCTATTTTTTTATTTTTTAAAAAACCAAATTACATTAAAATTGCACAACCAATTCTTGAAATATTCAAAATGGGTAAGTGCATTTGGTGTGGACAGATTTTCTACAAGTAGACCGGGATGCAGAAAATGCTATTTATATAATAATTTGTTTTTTCCCCTCTTTAACAGTTCCGTCTCCTAGCAGTCTAAAACAGCTGTTAGCTCAGCAGGGCAGTTCATGTTAATTCATTTAAGGGCAGGGAACCCTAACCTTTAGGTGCCATGTTCTTTATTTTTCAAACCTTAACAGGCCTCCTCCTGTGAAGAGTTCCACCCAATTGAAAGTTAAAACAAATTGCACTAGAATGACATAGGACAGAGAAAGAAAGATAAGAAGAAAAGAAAAAAAATAGAAAGAAAGGGAAAAGAAAAGTGTGGTAAAGAAAGGTGAGAATGAGAAGAGAAAGGAGACAAAGATAGAGAAAATTAAGAAAATACAAGAAGAAATGAAAGTCGGTGAAAAAGAAAGAAAAGGGGAGAGTGGGAAGGAAAGAAAAATAGAGAGGAAGTGACAAGAGAGAGAGGGGGGAAGAAAAGAAAAAACAAAAAGAAAGGAAAGAAAGTCAAATGGAGAATAGGGAAGAAAACGGGGAGAACGAAAAAGGGAGAAAAAAGGAAGAAAAAGGGAGAGAAAAGAAAGAAAAGGGGAGAGAAAAGAAAGAAACAAGGAAAGCAAAGAGGAGAGGAAGGAAAGAAAGAGGGAGAAAGGAAAGAGAAAGGGAGAGAAGAGAAAAAAGGAAGTAAAGCGGAGAAGAAGGAAAGAAAAAGGGAGAGAAATGGATGAAAAAGTGAGAAGGAAAGAAAAGAGGAAAGAAAAGGAATAGAAGCGAAGAGAAAGGGAGGTGTTCATGGTTCTTCACGTGATCATTTTCCTTCTTTTCTGTGAATTGCTATGCATTATTTGGAAAGAGATCCCCGTTGACCTCTGCCCGGTATTAAATTCAGAGCAGCCTTTCGTTTAGACAGGCTACCACTTAAGGCTAGAGAGCCAGTCTACTCTGCAATTTCACCCATCGCTGAGATTCACCATATTACCAGCTGTGATTCTTTCTATGTTACTTTCTTACGTTATTCGATAGAACTAGAAAGCAGCTCCCATCCCATAAAGCACAAATATTTTACTTCAAAACCAGTCCGGTGACAGTCGCTTCGCTGACGGCAAACCGATCAAGTTTCAAATCTAAGTTGTTTATATATTAAAATAGTCTCATTGCCGATCAAGGCTAGAATGCTATGTCAACCTTGCTATCTAATCTATAGCTAATGCAATCGGTTTGCCGCCAAAATACATATTAACTCGCTATCGTCAAATATGTAATCTGGAGTAACTGTGCAATATGAGTTCCCAATGTAAGGGGCATGCCCCACAAGCAGATGGGGGTAATTTTTAAGGGAGGCAATTCGAGAATGAGTCATTAACTTTGATTTTTTTTCTAGTGAGTCTGTGTAAGTATGTGTGTGTGTGTGTACGAGTTAATACATGCGGTGAATGTACAGTATGCATAGACAAAAATATCTGCGTATGAATGTATATATATATGTATATATATACATACACACGTATAGGATTGGTGTATACGAAATGAATTCCAATAACCAACAAATACTATTCTTAAAAGAGTGCTCAATACAGAGTAGAACAAATATAATTATTTATTCGAAAATTATAAGATAAATATGTTATAAAATCACTACAAAAATAGCCATTTTGTTTAAACACGTCAGGTGTCTTATCAAGAGATGGTGTTGAATGTAGAATAAATTCAACACCATCACTTGATAAGACACCGGAAGTGTTGAAACAAAATGGCTATTTTTGTAGTGATTTTATGACATATTTATGTTATGATTTTCGAATAAATAATTATATATATATATATAGACAGGTAAGATGAGAACGAATAGAGTACAATTCTAAGGTTGGTAACATTTAATTTAAAAAAGTCTCCATACTGAGTAGAGCAATATTTATTTTAGGACATTACATTGAAAACATGTCAAAATCGCTACACAATTGCAGTCGTGTTTCGATGCGTATCAATGCAACTCATCGGGCGATTATAAATTACTGGCCAGGATATATATATATATATATATATATATATATATATATATATAATTTTTAAACAATTTCTTCCTCGGTACTTCACCTGTCCTTTCGTTCTTTTAATTTTCTCTTTCATGAATGCCATGTTCTTTGGAAATTTGTTTAAACTAAGTTAATGGCTTTTTAGGCTTCCTCTGCGTGAATAGAAGTTCCCTTTTTGAATAGCAAGAATTATACGTCACGTGAGGCGTCATGTTCTTATAGATGCTTAGGTGTGAATATAGCCGGAAAAAGATTGGGAGCCACTAGTTTAGTACGTGTCTGTTGCATACGCCAAGAGAATCCAATTTAAAATCTAAATTGTTTCACTATTTTAAAAATACTACAGCCATTACAATATCTGTTTACTTTAATACAGAGCGCGGCGGGGCAGGGTGGTGTCATAAAAACGATTTCAAGTCACCCCATGCTCTCTTCGGATTATACCCTCATTAGCCAGCGTTTGTTGGCAGACAGAAAGGGAAATTAGTCTTCTCGAGGGGTTGGTAACATTATTTATCGTCTCTTAGTTGCGTCTCTATCTTTGGGCAGAGTGCACTCAGGGGCGACTCCGTCAAAGGACAGAGTCGCGACTGAGGAAAATTATACTGAGAGGTGCCCAGCCCTGGGGAACAGCTGCCCGAGGCCGTGTCCTCTCATTGCACTAGAGAGAGAGAGAAATCGGTGCTCGCACCGAGGCCAGCGCAAGTGACGGTTGCAGGGGCTGCGGGCAATTTTTGTTCCTAGCCCGGGTGTACTCGCTCGGGATCTCCACATTAAACCGACCTTGTTTCACAACTCGTCTTAGTGGGGAGACAGAGTAAATACTTAGTTTTATTTCGATTTGTGAAGCTTATTCAGTTATACACCCTTGTTCAAATTAACTGAAACAAAACGAATAATTCCGTTATTATTTACTTTTTTCGTATTTTCCCAATGAAACATGACCCAGTGCACATATAAGTACTTCGTATGTCCATTCCACGAAGTCTTTTTTTGCAGATTGACCACAGATTCTCGACTGGATTTAAATCAGAAGAGTTTCCGGGCCAGTCTGTAGTACTTTGATTTGCTAACTGGTAAGGCTTGCCAGTGTGTTCATACAGTGTTACAATTTTTGTACGCTTCCTTGTCCATCGCAGACAATGGCCGTGGGACAACTAATCGACAGTCGAGACAGTAGTGTCTGGTCATGATAAAAATCTGATGCAATCATAGATGACGCAATATCTTTCAAGGTCAAACAAATTTCATCATACACCCCGAAAATAGATTCATATTACTGCACACCACTGCAAATGACCTAATCTGAGGAAAAAAATTGAAATTAATTACAGCCTATCATTACAGTAGATCTAAAACTGACCATGTGGTGAAAGAAAGGAAAGTAAAGCGGTTGTTTCAATTAATTTGTACAAGGGTACAATTTAATAAGCTATGAATAACAACAAAAATAACACTGAATTTATTTAGATCTTTTGTGTGTGCCTATATTACAATACGCGTAAATCAAAATAAAAGAGTGACATACTAAGCCTTTTCATGCGCATTCAGTCATATACTTCTGAAATTTTGACTCTTTGCCTGCCATGCGCATCTTATGTGAGGCACAGAACATGTGATTTCCACGTCAGTGCACCATATGTGATGCACACGAGGCATGATTTTAAAAGAGTAGTAAAACTAAGGACTCTTAAGTAAAGAGTCTACTATTGAGCAGGACGTCCGAGGAATGGCCTAAGATAATGTTTTGTGCATTATATATAACCATAGGATGTTTTCAGATTTATAACTACTGCAAGGCAACTCAGCTTATTTGGGAAATAGAATGTGCTTATAGTTAAAAAAAAAAAAAAGTGGGGAGAGGAGTGAACTGAACGATAGATGAACCTATCTACTCCGATTGTGGAAAAAAGAAAAGAAAAGAAAAAAAAAAAAGAAGAAAGAAATAGTAAAAATTTCAGAGTTTACGCGGAGACATTAGAAGTATAGAGTGGAAGTAGACTTTAGAAGGAACTGGAAACTCAATCCTAAACAGGAAACAAGGAATAAATTTGGACCCCTTTTCAATCAATTTTTTAATCAATTCACCCCAATCAAGTCGATAACGCTATTAAGATGCAAGATATTACTGGAAGTGAGAAGGAAAAGAAGGAACCGGAAACTCAAGGGATAAACATTGACTCCTGCTCAAAAAACCGGGGAGGAGTGTGAACCGGGCGATAGGCGAATCTATCTACTCCTATTCAGAAAAAAGAAAAAGAAAAAAAAAAAGAAATAGTAAAAATTTCAGATTTTACGTGGAGATATTAGAAGTATAGAGTGGAAGCAGCCTTTAGAAGGAGCCGGAAACCCAACCCTAAACAGGAAACAAGGGATAAATCCGGACCCCTTTTCAAAATATAGGGGCGTACTGCGAACCGGACGATAACCGAATCTATATAAATATCTGGTGTTTACCGAATCATCAGCAGCAGCTGTTACTTCTGGACGCTATGCATATTGTCAGACTTTACTCTTTCTCCAAATTGGCCCTATATTTCCTCTGCAAGTGTTATGTTAAGGAAAGGAAATGACTATAAATTGAATTTTGCCTATTAAATGTACAGATTTTCAAACGCGACTATCTGCTTACATGTTTCAAATGTTCTTTAACTCTTTGCCTGTCTTGCGCATCATATGCGATGCACAGGTCATGTGATTTCCACGTCCATTCATCATATACAGTGCACACGAGCCATGATTTTAAAAGAGTGGTCAAACTCAGGACGCTTAAGAAAAGAGTCTACTATTGAGCAGGACGTCTGAGGAAAGGCCTAAGATAATATTTTGGGCATCATATGACGCTCGACTGATAATGTAAGGTCTCAAATGAAAAACATCTATTTTTTTCCAGTTTATTGAAGTGATTATAACCTTTGTATCACATGTGACGCAGTTTTTGTTTTGGGGAAAACTGTATATATCAGCATATTCTATTTGCTAAATAAGCAGAGTTGCCTTGCAGTAGTTATAAATCTGAAAACAAGCAGGGACGTTTGGATAGGACACACAAAAAATGCAATGGACAGGTTAAGAGTTAAGAGACAGCAAGACATCTTTGATTTTCAAACAAAGCAAATACTTGACCATTGTCCTCGTTTTTGGCACCCTTTATATTCAGACGATTGTCCTCATCTTAGTTGTTGTTATTCCCCAGTTCAGAATTCTCTGCAGGTTACCCAGATCAGTTTATCCCTGAGGAAGGCCAGTGGGTACAATGGCCGAAACGTTGTGATAACAACAAAAATGAGGTCAATAGTCTGAATATCGAGTCGGCACCCGCTCGCATCCTCTCTCCTTATTCCCTTTCTCCCCTCTGGTGTAGGTGGCAAAAATGGCTGTGAAGGCTCAGCCTAACTGCTGAAAAGTTGTGAGCAGGAGTCACAGAGGAATGTGGGTAGTTGTTATACTACTTATTCTATGGTAAATAGACTCTCCCACAGATAATAAGTAGTAGTAGCAGTTGCCAGGGAGCTCAGTGGAGTTGGTGAGTCAGTCGATGTCGAACATTGAAGTATCAACCATCACAACTAGATTGCTGCATCATTAACTACTGTTTCAAGTTCCTAACGTTTTGTATGTCGAACCTTTTAGGACCGACTTAGTGACGTACAAGCCTCCACTGCGAAAAACTACTCTACAACAGTGGTAGACGCGGCTGGGCGAGCCTGACAGCACGCCGCAGATCCTCTTCATGCTGAAGGTTGAACTCGAAAGTCACC